GGATGTAAACTGGTGGCGATTAGTCCACTTACTGTACCACCTTCTCCTGGCGGGCGAGGGCATGACACCTCGACGCCCAAGGGAAGGGAGTCTCACACCATCTGCGTGGTGATCCACCAACCCTCGCTGGATTATTCACGTGGCCTAGGTTACACGTCCAGCGCGCCACTAACCGTTACACCGCGTCAGCATCCTTTGCGCTCACGGTCATCGTCAAACTTTTCTGTCTTTAGTTTGTTGTTCTTCCCCGCACCTCCGATTAGCGCGATTGGCTGCGTACGATGCGAAAGAAGTTCATCGCAAGTTCAGCATCTTTTCGAGCGACGTGTACTGCCCAAACCCGCTTCGACGGCTAACGCGATGGAACTAACTTGCGCACATTCTCAAATCCACTTTGCTCTGCTTTCTGTCTCTCAGTGCGATTCGAGGGAATGAACCCCTCCACGCATATTTGCGAACTTTTCAGCTTTTGTTTATTTTTAATATTTTTAAAACGTGCCATTTGCCAAGTTTGCGAGCCACATGTCACAGTAGAGAACGTACAGCAATGTAACAAACTTCAGACACGTTGGTAATAGTATATAGATTAGAGGAATTAAATATATCAATACTCTAAGCGTCCACGTTAATTATTAACTTTCTAGCAGCTATGCCCCCGAATGATTACACAGTCGGTTAATAAGAATGCATTTTTTTATGCACGTCAACACCACCACTTCACACTGATTAGTGAGGCTGCGTTGGCCAAAATCACCTGGAATGTGCCACGATCTCCTCCGTTTCTTGAGAGCTAAGCAGGTTTGGAGCCTGGACAGCACTCGGATTGGCACGCATCGTTTAGAGGGAGCCCTCCTTGTCGATAGGTAAGGAGGGCTCCCTTCTCTGTTCAGCAAGCCGCCTTCTGCTGCTGAGACCACAGGAGGCTGAAACCCGCCGAGGGTTTGTTAGCTCGAGCAATTGGCAATTGGTTGATGGCCTTAAATATATTTGATAATAATCAACGCGGAGGTGCAGAACACTGAGGAATTAATGGATTCCATGAGCCGTAATGCTGCACTTACAGCACATGAGTTCGTGCAAACACCGTAATTTAGAGGGGGTTTGTCAGGTTTTTGGTTCTTTGCCATCCGTACTGCATTAGCGACGTACATTTCGCATTGATGGCGGTATTGGTTGTGTTCAACGTGACACGAAACACGTGACAGGTCGGCCTATGAAAATGCTACCATCACCCACCGTAGACGGAGGAGGAGCACGATTAGAAGATTACACAAAATCTCTCCTGAAGCCCTCTCGTCGTGGCTAGCAGACCTCGACATTGGAATTTATTTCCTGAACACAGTGCAGTCACATGCAGTATAAACGAGTACTGCATTAAGGACAAAATATAAGCGCGAAAAATGGATTTTCATTGTGACAAGCCCACGCATAACACGCCAGACGCCCTAAAGCTCCGTAGCCACTCATGGAATTTTAATTTTAGAACGTCGCCTTGAGTGATACATTATTTTTTTTGTATTACTATTTTTATTTTTTTATTACTTTTTTTATTTTACCAGGTAAGGCCCACTGAGCCATAGAGCTCTTTTCCAGAAGCGACTAGGCCATACATAATAATAGTTCAACGAAGTGGCTTGGCATGTGGACATTTCTATCAACCAAATATTCTAAACGCATATTGATTTTAAATGTGGAGGGAATTTCACACAATGACGAGGAGAACATGCAAACTCCAAATTTACGAGTGTCAGGGTCGGGATCGAACCCACGAACTCCTGCATACGAGGCGAGGTAGATAACATCTCGCCACCGTGTTGAGAAAACTAGATAAACATTTGAAATACCGCAGCAACGCAGCACTTTGATCCGACAGATCAGAGAAAATGGAGCGGTTTTACCCTCGATGCCTGCAGGCTTCCCCGCCGTCTTTAATTTAATCCGTGCCCGGTATACAGCTCAATGTTTTTGTTTTTGTTTCACGAGGCACCAACAATGACTCAGATCTTTGTGTGACGGTGCTGGCACCCCCTGCGATTTGATGCTGCCATGGGGATGAGCAGAGAAGGGGGGGAGAGATGGCGAGGAGGGCGCTCATGAAAAAAAAACAGAGGCGGGAGCGGATTGCATAGTCACGTTACGAATACAAATCGGCAGCACGGGTGGGTGGTGGGGCTATCTGCCCTGTAGCGTGAGTACGTCGGTCTATGCGAGCTCTGAAGTTATTCATTCGAGCACCGAGCAACGGCACCCTTCACATGCCCGTGGCACGAAAACAGCGCGTGGATTAAACGCAGCGGCAAGCGACGTCACGTGTCCCACCGCCACTTATCCCACGTGGCAAAATCATGATGCGCCGCCGACACCTACCTGTGTACGGAGTGTAAGAGTCGTTGTCTGGAGGTGGTCACGTGTCGTGTCTGACCTTTTTGCACGTATCCGCCCGCAGCTAAAGTTGTCCCCAGCGAGTCGGATATGTAACGTTGTGCCGTATTTAAATTTACGGCGGGGTTATTTTTTTGTTGCATGTCTTACGCGTCTTTGGCAGCGGATTCACATTAGCGACTACGTGGAAATGTAAATAGAATTTCGGAATTTTGCAAACGTTTTGCCGAATACAAATCGGTCAGTAGTTGAAAAAAAACCCATCTGGATCGCTCAAATATAATACCGGGAATGCTCAGAATCTTAACGTTTATTTATACTGGAGGAATCCGATGAGCTATAAAGCTCTTTTTAACAGATGTTCATGCTGGTTTGGGCACTGGGACAGTTCGTAGGACTCGTAGTTGGTACACGACGAGCGGAAGGTTGTAAATCGCTCCTCTCTGTGATACTTAAAACCTCAAGTGAATTTGTGTTAAATTATCATTAAATGTTTTGTCTAGATTGGAAAAACAATGTCAACATTGTGCTCTTCAATCGTCTCGATATTTACACACGAGCAACTCCGAAAAGCACGGTTGGCTACGTGCGGTGCGAAAGAAGTGCAACATACATAACATGTATAGATTGATTGTCGCTCTGGCCAGGGAGGCAATGGTGTTGTTCCATGAGTCTCAACGGGTTTGTTCCATCTCCTGGTTAAATCAAGGATATTGACCGATTGACTATCGTGAATAGGCGGGTTAGCAGCTTCCATCGCAGCCTGTGCTTTGTAAGCTGTGCACACTCTCTGCGCCCATGGCGGGGGGGGGGGTGTATGAATCTCGTGCAAAAGAGAAGACGAAAAAACATCCCCCAGGGCGAGCCAAATCCCCGACTTTGACCGCCCCCGTGCTGCGCCGCGTCCCCTTGATGTAGTTCCGTTAATTATGGGGAAGGCGACTGGGAGCGATGGACGAAGCGTTTTGCTGGAATAACAGGGCCTCTCGCCCGAGACCCGGTTAGTGTATATATATCACAATGTATTACTTTGTTCTCGTGCCCTAAGAAGTGGGGGGGGGGGGGGGGGGGGGGGGTGGAACGGCTCTGTCGAAAATATTTATTCAAATATATGCTATAAAAAATAAATAAACGTCTCACAATTTTTTGGGACAGGAATAAGTTGGGTGGGCGAAGGAAATCGGTTTCGTCGTGGTCGAAGGCCCCCTGGAGAGTCAAGACGGATGTCGGCATGCTGCAATGGTGCCACGGTCTGCGCGTGGCAGTTAAAACAATGGGGCAAGTTTCCTAACTCGCCCGCCACACGCCCAGCGCCTCTGTCCGCCCAGCAGTGTGAGTGGGTACTCCACCGTTAGTTGATGGGCAGGTGGGTTAAAGTGTGGGTACTCGCAACTCTTCAAAGACGCCCGGCCGGCGTGGAATACGAGGCCAAAATTTCCTTTGCACGGGGCTCTCTCTCTCTCGAGAGAGAGAGCTCCATCCAGTGGAGACCGTTTCACCAGCAGTGGCGTGAGCGGGCAATTGCAGGGCTGCGCCTTTGCCGTTATTGCACAGGACGCAACAGAGAGCATGCATGATCGCGTGTGTGTCAACTTGCCACCTAAGAAGTAAAACAAAAATAGCCTTATTGAGATTGTTGGACGTTTCCCAGGCAGATACATGGCGTCTTGCAAGTTTGTCAAGAGTACCACAGCCGGCAGTTACAACACTTCTCGACTTTTTGTTTTTTTGGTAACCTTTTGTTTTTGTTGTGTTGCTGTTTGCCTTTTTTCTCGATTACCTTTTTTTTCCTGAACGCGCTATCGCTGTCAATGCACGAGGGGAAGACGTTGACGCTCGAAATTCGCGCGAGATTCGGCGCGACACGAACGCCGTGCTGGACGTATCTCTCGCGGTCACGTCTGGCGTAAGCAGCTCTCTCTCTCTCTGATGAGACTGTCTTTTGGGCTGGTGGTTCTCACCGTTCTTGTCACAATGCCCTTACGTTTCGCTCCAAAACGTGTGGTAAGCGTTATAGTTTGCTATAGGATTTGTTTTTACGGGAAAACAAATTAAGCCGTTATAGTGCGCAATCTGATGCTTTTTTGTATATGGGATTCACAGCAAAACCAGTGGTGCCAAGCATTTTCGCAAAAACCCTTTCCATCTTATTCCAGTTGTAAAGGGCTGGATAAGTGCTTTCGTTGCGAATGTCTAACGGATATCAAAACGTCAAACCGACTTTACTTCGATCCTCATCGGACCGTGGGTGAATCCAACCCTGGCCGTAAAACCTGAGAACTCGGCACGACCGCAAACCCCTCCCCCCATACCCCCACTCGGTAGCGTTACAGTGGCGAGATGTTAACTCCCTCGCCTGGTATACAGGAGGTCGTGGGTTCGATCCCGACCCTGACGCCTGCTGTCTATTTGGAGTTTGCATGTCTCTCTCTCATCATCACCACGGTGTCTAGGAGATGTTAACAACCTCGCCTGGTATACAGGAGGTCGTGGGTTCGATCCCGACCCTGATGCCCGCTGCATATTTGAAGTTTGCTTGTAATTTCTCCCCGTGGTCACGTGGATTTTTCTCCGGGTCCTCCGGTTTTTCCCCCGCCCATGGTTGGTGCCGCACGCAGCTGGAGGACTCGGTGAGGGTGGAGAGGGCGCCGTCGCAGCAGCAACAACAGCAGCAGCAGCAACAGCAGCGGCAACAACAGCAGCAGCAACAGCAGCAGCAACAGCAGCAGCAGGAGCACGCGGCCGCCGCCATGCTGGAGATGGGCACCAGCCTGCTGAGCCAGACGGCCGAGCAGACGCGCAAGCTCACCCACATGGAGACACAGGTGGGGGGCTCACCCACATGGAGACACAGGTGGGGGGCTCACCCACATGGAGACACAGGTGGGGGGCTCACCCACATGGAGACACAGGTGGGGGGCTCACCCACATGGAGACACAGGTGGGGGGCTCACCCACATGGAGACACAGGTGGGGGGCTCACCCACATGGAGACACAGGTGGGGGGGGGGGGGCTCACCCACGTGGAGACACAGGTGGGGGGCTCACCCACATGGAGACACAGGTGGGGGGCTCACCCACATGGAGACACAGGTGGGGGGCTCACCCATATGGAGACACAGGTGGGGGGCTCACCCACATGGAGACACAGGTGGGGGGGGGGGGCTCACCCACATGGAGACACAAGTAGGTGACTGGAGTGACTACGGGTGACTAAGGGTGACCACGAGTGACTACGGGTGACTAAGGGTGACCACGAGTGACTACGGGTGACTAAGGGTGACCACGAGTGACTACGGGTGACTAAGGGTGACCACGAGTGACCACGAGTGACTAAGGGTGACCACGAGTGACTACGGGTGACTAAGGGTGACCACGAGTGACTACGGGTGACTAAGGGTGACCACGAGTGACTAAGGGTGACTAAGGGTGACCACGAGTGACTAAGGGTGACCGTGGGTGACCACGAGTGACTAAGGGTGACTAAGGGTGACCACGAGTGACTAAGGGTGACTAAGGGTGACCACGAGTGACTCAGGGTGACTAAGGGTGACCACGAGTGACTAAGGGTGACCACGAGTGACTAAGGGTGACTAAGGGTGACCACGAGTGACTAAGGGTGACTAAGGGTGACCACGAGTGACTAAGGGTGACCATGGGTGACCACGAGTGACTAAGGGTGACTAAGGGTGACCACGAGTGACTAAGGGTGACTAAGGGTGACCACGAGTGACTAAGGGTGACTAAGGGTGACCACGAGTGACTAAGGGTGACCACGAGTGACTGAGGGTGACTAAGGGTGACCAGGAGTGACTAAGGGTGACCGTGGGTGACCACGAGTGACTAAGGGTGACTAAGGGTGACCACGAGTGACTAAGGGTGACTAAGGGTGACCACGAGTGACTAAGCGTGACTAAGGGTGACCACGAGTGACTAAGGGTGACTAAGGGTGACCACGAGTGACTCAGGGTGACTAAGGGTGACCACGAGTGACTAAGGGTGACTAAGGGTGACCACGAGTGACTAAGGGTTACTAAAGGTGACCACGAGTGACTAAGGGTGACTAAGGGTGACCACGAGTGACTAAGGGTGACTCAGGGTGACTAAGGGTGACCACGAGTGACCACGAGTGACTAAGGGTGACCACGAGTGACTAAGGGTGACTAAGGGTGACCACGAGTGACTAAGGGTGACTAAGGGTGACCACGAGTGACTAAGGGTGACTAAGGGTGACCACGAGTGACTAAGGGTGACTAAGGGTGACCACGAGTGACTAAGGGTGACTAAGGGTGACCACGAGTGACCGCGCCGTCGCAGGTGCTGAACCAGACGTCGCGGCTGGAGATCCAGCTGCTGGAGAACTCGCTGTCCACCCACAAGCTGGAGAAGCAGCTGCTGCTGCAGACCCAGGACATCGGACGCCTCGCGCAGAAGAACAAGTGAGGGCGCCGCGTCGAGTCGCACAGCGCGGCCGTCAGGTGGAGACGATTCCCGGCAGCTCCTCAGTGGCGCGGCCGCCGTGGGTGCAGCGAGGGTCCGGACCCCCCCCCCCCCCACTTGTTTAGCCGTGGCCGAGAGACGCCGCCAACGCGCGTCGTGCGTGTGACCCCCTCCCCTCCCCCTCTCCCCTGCTCCCCTGGCCCCTCCCCCCCCTCCCCTGGCCCCTCCTCTGCCTACTCCCCCCCTCCCTTACCCCCTCCCCTGCCCCCCTCTCCCCTGCCCCCCCTCCCCTGCCCCCCCCCTCCCCTGCCCGCAGGGAGCTGGAGGTGCGGCTGTGGGAGCTGGGTGATAAGCACCACGCGGAGCTGCGCGCTCTGCGGGAGGAGAAGGCCGAGCTGGAGCGACTGGTGGGGAGGCAGAGCCAGGCGGTGGGCGCGCTCGAGCGCCAGCTCGGAGCCGCCACCGCCAACAACTCGAGGCTGCAGCGGCAGCAGCAGGAGCTGACGGAGAGCGTGCGCACCCTGCTCGCCCTGCTGCCGCAGTACGCGCAGGGTGAGCGGCGCAGGCGACAGCGTCACCCGGGCACCCTGCGCGTCGTGCCCCCGCCGCCGCCGCTACAGCAGCAGCAGCCACTTGAATCCACGGCCACTACAGCCGCTACGAACACTGCCGCCTAGAGCCACCATCACCACAGTCACCATCGCTACAGCCACCATCACCACAGTCACCATCGCTACAGCCACCATCACCACAGTCACCATCGCTACAGCCACCATCACCACAGTCACCATCGCTACAGCCACCATCACCACAGTCACCATCGCTACAGCCACCATCACCACAGTCACCATCGCTACAGCCACCATCACCACAGTCACCATCGCTACAGCCACCATCATCACAGTCACCATCACTACAGCCACCATCACCACAGTCACCATCACTACAGCCACCATCACCACAGTCACCATCACTACAGCCACCATCACCACAGTCACCATCGCTACAGCCACCATCATCACAGTCACCATCACTACAGCCACCATCACCACAGTCACCATCACTACAGCCACCATCACCACAGTCACCATCACTACAGCCACCATCACCACAGTCACCACCACTACAGCCACTAAAGCGACTGTCACTACAGCCACCATGACCACAGTCACCATCGCTACAGTCACCATCACCACAGTCACCATCGCTACAGCCACCATCATCACAGTCACCATCACTACAGCCACCATCACCACAGTCACCATCACTACAGCCACCATCACCACAGTAACCACCACTACAGCCACTAAAGCGACTGTCACTACAGCCACCATGACCACAGTCACCATCGCTACAGTCACCATCACCACAGTCACCATCGCTACAGCCACCATCACCACAGTCACCATCGCTACAGTCACCATCACCACAGTCACCACCACTACAGCCACTAAAGCGACTGTCACTACAGCCACCATGACCACCGCCACTACATCCATAGCCACTTACAGCTACCATCAACACAGCCACGACAACCACAATCACCACCTCCACGACAACCATCGTCACCACCTCCACTAAAACCGCCATCACCACTGCAACCACCGCCACTACAGCCATCGCCACCACAGCCACCGCCACGCCACCCCCTACAGCCATGGCCACCACAGCCACTGCCACGCCACCCCCTACAGCCATTGCCACCACAGCCACCTTTGGAGTCATCTGTGGAGTCGTCCTCGTGTTGAGGTCGCTGCCCTCCCGCAACATTTGCGCTGCCAATGCAGAAGCTAACGTGTGAAGCTTGCTGGGTGGCAGGTCGATGGCTCGTTCTCTTGGGCGTGTGTTCTTCTTGGGCGTGTGTTCTTCTCGGGCGTGTGTTCTTCTTGGGCGTGTGTTCTTCTTCTTAGGCGTGTGTTCGTCTTGGGCGTGTGTTCTTCTTCTTGGGCGTGTGTTCTTCTTCTTGGGCGTGTGTTCGTCTTGGGCGTGTGTTCTTCTTCTTGGGCGTGTGTTCTTCTTGGGCGTGTATTCTTCTTCTTGGGCGTGTGTTCTTCTTCTTGGGAGTGTGTTCTTCTTGGGCGTGTGTTCTTCTTCTTGGGCATGTGTTCTTCTTGGTTGTGTGTGTTCTTCTTGGTTGTGTGTGTTCTTCTTGGGCGTGTGTTCTTCTTCTTGGGCGTGTGTTCTTCTTGGGCGTGTGTTCTTTTTGGGCATGTATTCTTCTTCTTGGGCGTGTGTTCCTCTTCTTGGGTGTGTGTTCTTCTTGGGTGTGTGTTCTTCTTCTTGGGCGTGTGTTCTTCTTCTTGGGCGTGTGTTCTTCTTCTTGGGCGTGTGTTCTTCTTCTTGGGCGTGTGTTCTTCTTCTTGGGTGTGTGTTCTTCTTGGGTGTGTGTTCTTCTTGGGCGTGTGTTCTTCTTCTTTGGCTGACGCTCCACCATGAGACTCGTTCCACCCGGCGAAGCCTCTTGACCAAGCCCCCCGTAACTTTTGTTCACAGTCTAAACATTTGAGTTCACACAAAATTATACGCAGTCCATGCGAAACGTGTGATAATACGGGTTTAAGAACAAGGTCCTGACAAGGTTTCACCCGCAATAATGTTTGGATTAATTTAAAGCAGCGTCTTAATTTTATAATTATATCCCCGCAACGTAATACTTTAATTGAGGGCTCCATATTTTAAGAGGCAAGGAGTCCGAGTGCGCGTGTGTGTTCTTTTAATATCCTGTCGGCAAAATGAAATTGCTTCCACCGGCCCTCGCTCGCATGCCCGGGCTTAAGAGCAACACTTGCGCCCAAAGAACTTTACACCTCGCACAAACACGAATATAATGCACGTGTAAGCGTGCAACGAATCCACGTTGAGCCTCTCTTCCAGTTTGATAAAAACACTCCCGCCTCACCGCCACAGATTGAATGTCATCTTGTCCAGTACAACCCAAGCAACGTTTCTCCCACCCACTCCGGCGAGGGGCCATAACCCAAAGCACCCACTTCGCTTTCCCCTCCCGTATATATGTTTTGGCAGCCGACTTGTAACCGACACGAGTTATATCGCGCGCATTGTTTTTCGACGTTACATCTTCCAACGCGGAGAGATTTCTCCGAATTGTTATCGCGCAAACCCAGCGGCCCTTCTCAAGCGGCGTCGTGTGCGATTGGCGTGGGCCCTGGGCTCAAGGAACTAACCATGGGGGCCGGTGCAATTGCACCGCCTGCGCGCTCCGTCATTTCGACGCCACGCTGTGAGGTGGGAACTCGGTTTATTTTTGGTGGCGAGCGGCTCGAGCGAGGAGGTGTGGAGGGGTGGGGGGTGTTTGGGACAATGCAGCGTTCCGGGTAAAGGTGGAAGATGGTGCTCGATTACGATCCCAGTGAGTGGCGAAGGATTCAAGATCATCACGTAGGGCCCGTGTTTGATATATCTTGAACTGCTTTCGCACCGTACGTAGCCAACCGTGCTGATGGGAGGTGCAAGGGGAAAGACAACAAACTTTTGATACGCACGCTGGAGACACCGTGTTGACTGTTAAGAAAAGTGGGCTGCGATGATTTTTATTTATTTTATTTTGCCAGGTCAGGCCCACTGAGCTACGTAGCGCTTTTTCAAAAGCGACCTGGCCACAAATGATAGCTGAACGAAGTGGCTTATTACGATGTGGATTTATTTTTTGTAGCTGCTCAAAAAAAACTCTAAACGATGATGGTTGGTGGACGAGACCGGCGGCCATGGAGATGGAGCATCGAAATATCGGCTCGTGCACAGGAGCCAGATGGGTTGTTGGAACACGGCGCCGTGGAAGATGCCAGCAGCTCGTGGAGGCCTTTATCCTGCAGTGGATAGATCATGACTAATGCTGATGACAACACAATGAATCGAGAGAGCATTTGGCGCTGAGAGAATTGTGAGAGGACACAAAAAAAACCCACTGTGATATTCATTTCACAGCAAAGTGCTCATAAACGCGGTAATTGTACACCTAATGGGAAAAGAGCAATTGGCCTCCAATGTATATGCATTTTTGCGGTGGAAGATTAAACACACAGATAGAAAAAAAGGTGAACCACAGCTGGCAATCTTTGGATCTTATTATATTCGCGCAAGCGAATCAAGCGGCTCGCTCAGTTGAAAGGCACGGGCTTGGACAAAAGTAATCGGTGTCACGCCCGATTTGGGTGGGAAAAACTAAAAAAACGAACGGCCGAGTTGTTGTGTGCCGAGGGCTTTCGGCGTCACCGCGACTTCTCGCCCGCAGCGGCACGGCAGAGAGAGGCGCCGCGTTAGGCAGCTTCGGGGCCCACGCGGAGCGCGAATCGTCGGCCACGCGAACTCCGCTCGTCCTCGCCGCTCAGCCATCGAACAAAGACATGCGGCCACCGCGTCACGCGCTTTCGGATGTGTTTCTGCGACCGTCTGGAACGTTCTTCCTTCCCGATATTAGGAAGCCACTGGAGCCGTGCACTTTCAAATGTCGACTGAAAATGGCACTTCGCTAGAACTGCTTTTAGTGTTTAGTTTGTTGTCCTTCCCCCGCACTACCGATTAGCACGGTTGGCTATGTACGGCGCGAAAGAAGTCCAACGTACATACATACGGCGGAAACAAAAGGAACGCTCGCCTAGCAGTCAAGTTAACTGGGTATTCCGTATTTAGGCAAAGGTGCAGGCCTGCTATGGCTTGCTCACACCACGGCTGGCTGAAGGGTCTCCGGTACAGGGAGTTGTACAGATACCCACTATGAAGCGTATATTTGGCCTACTTTTTCACACTATCCACAGCAAAAGAAAAAAACACCATTGAATATATTCTGCGAAAACGATTAAGAAATTATATCATTTAAAAAATTAATAACTCCAATACATGTAAATTTTACTCTAAGTGCCTTACTAAATGTTTGAATTCGTACTTAGCAAATAAAGATTCGAATGTAACATTCAAACTTGGCCCCCCGCCGGGTCGCTCAGTAGCAGAGCGAGCGGCTCGAAGTCGGGCGGTTGCGAGTTCGGTCCCTGAAGAAGCTCTCCACGTTGCGCAGCAAAACGTCGGACAAGGTGGCGGTGCAGCCCGACGACTCGTCGGGAGAGCCACAGGTGGAATCTGCTCTCCATTCGGAACCCAATAGCGTGGCACACCACACAGGTGCCCATGCCTTCACAATAGCAGCACTAACTTTGTGCTCAGTGAACCAGTTGCTGCTTACTGGGGCTGTGTTCTGCTTCTCGTGCCAGGCCACAAGACCAGACGCCTGTTGCCAAAGTATATATATTGTTGTTGCTTAATTTGCCAAGAACACTTTCCTACTGAAAAAAACTTAAATAAATATAAAATGTTAACGTGTTAATTGGCCTTAAGCGGACTCCTAGCTGTTCGTAGATTTTTTTTTTTGCTGGGAGATCCGGAAACCGTGATACGGTTGTCTAAAACCACCCCGAGGACCATTGTGTGTTATGATCAGCGTCAAACCGCGAGCCAAAATCGAGCACCACTCTATCAAACCCACAGTATGAATTCAAGTTAACCAGCCGATCGTTACGTTGCATGCGGTGGGGGGTAAAGTATGGGTGCTCCAACCTCGTTCCAAGACTTCTGGCCAGCGTGTAGCAGTTGGTCAAATTCCCCTCCAGAGAAGCTCTCTAGAGCTCTGTCTTAGTGGAGGCCAATCCAAAGTCACTGTTTTATTTATCGTGGTGAGCATATATTAAAAAATGTACTGAACTAAAACTAAAATATTTTTTTATTTTTCCAAGTAAGGCCCAGCTGAGCTACATAGCTCTTTTTCAGAAGCAAACTGGCCACAAATGATGTCTCAACGAAGTGGCTAACCGCGTGGAAATGTAGCCAAATACTCTAAACACACGTTGATTCTAAATAGCTCAGGGGGCCTTACCTGGCAAGAATAAAAACTGTTTCGTTTTCTTGTTTCAACGACAGCCGGTCGCTGGCGTTGTCCGTTTATTTAAAGTCTGCTGCGCTTTGTCTATGCCCTGCTCCCTGCTGGAGTCGGTGCACGCGACCCTCCTCTAAACAAGGTCACGCCACAGAACTGTCGTACACCCGTGCCGTATCGTTCACCCGTGCCACATCGTTCACCGGGCCACCGCCCTCTTTGCCCCCGCAGCCACAGAGAGCAGCCACGGAGGGTCAACGGGCGGGGAGGATGAGGAGGAGGAGTACGAGGGGGAGGAAGAGGCAGAGGATGGGAAGAAGCCCCCGTTCAGAGATTGCGCTCACGCTCGTCAAGCCGGAGTCACCAAGAGCGGCGTCTACGCCGTGCGGGCGTTCAACTCGAGCCAGCCCGTCAAGGCATGGCCACACCCCCCACCCCTTGCCCCCCACCCGCACCCCGCCACCCACGGCCCCCTCCGTAACCCCCCCCCTCACCTCGTCTTCGGATTGCCTAACACGGAACGCTCTTGGGATGCAGCGTCAAGGCAGAGACCTCGGCGTAGGGAATGGCGTTCAACGTGGAGACGACCAGAATCAAAATCTTATCTTATATATTTATGTAGCCCTCTCATCCGAGGCGCTTTACAAGGGTTATGAGTGGTACAATGAGGGTAGCTAAAGGTGATACGGTGAATAGTGATGGGGTATGGGGAGGGAGGTTTAGTGGGTACAGGAATTCCGGTGGGTACCTAGGGATGGAGGGGAGGATGGACCAGGGAGAGGAGGTGAACGTCTTGACGGAGGAGCAGAAACTCGACAGGGAGGGTGCTCGCTGCTTAATGTGAAGGGGAGGAGAAATCCGATGAGCTATGAAGCTCTTTTTTCACAGATGCCCAGTAGGGGCACGAGGTCCGAACGTTACAACAACGCTGCAACATTGCCCGGAGGGCGAAGGATACAATTCAGTTCATAAAAATGAAATGTTGCAGTCTGTTTTGTGATTTCAATATGATTTGCATATAGCTGTGGGTCAGTGGCGCGGTGGTTAGTGCGCTAGGCTAAGAACCCCACCACCCGAGATTGATTCCCGGCTAAAATTGGCGGCCTTTTATCTGAACTGGTCCTGGGCCTCCCACCCCACCTCTTTCGTCACCAACCTTGCACTAACCAGCGTGGTGAAGTATGGTCAAACAATCCCCGCGACCGATACGGTGGGGCAAGGCCTTCATCCAATCTATATACATATCCACGAGCGACATTTTTCTGTCCAGGTGGCAGGATCGTTGCCCCAATGATGAACCATTATGGCCGGGATAGGCGCTGCTTCGGGTAACAACTTAAGACGCGTAGCTCAGCGGGCCTTCATCGCTTCTCCCGATGCTAAGCTGTTCGCGATACTCGGTCACATGAAGTTGGCTCCGCAGAAGGAAAACTAAATTAGAGTTGACAAGGGTGGAGATGGCAGAGATGACCGATTTGAGCAAACGTTGTTTGTCTTGGAGTGACCTCGGGCATGGATCCAGGCGTGTGGAGAAACCGTCCGAAGCTGATGAGACTAGTGTCCACTGCGCCCGTCTCGCGTGGCCCATTGCAGCTGCAGCGGCGGCGGTGGCCGTGAATAGAGGTCGGCCCCCTTGGCAGAGGGGGGCGGTCGAAACGCGCGCGGGTGTCTGTCGGTGTCTTGCGCCGAGCCACGGAAATCTCCTGCTCAAGCGAGCAACGACGCAGTGGCCTCGCCTCTTGTTCGCAGCCCTGAGCCACCGTTGGAAGTTCCACTCTCCTACCGGGACGACGAGCCTACGCCTCGCACAGCCACCGGTTACTTGCACGCAGAGTGGTACCCATTTTATCACCGCAGGAAGGATGATGGGCTGAGTGAGCCCCCCCCCCGCCCCCAACACACCCACCCCAAACCAGAATTTGAACTCGCAACCTTCCAACTGCGAGCCGATGGCCCTGCCGCTGAGCCAACTGGCGTTGCCATGAGCTCGCAATTGTACAGAACCTGTACAGGTCACATCGTCTCCTCGCTAGGATGCCCCGAGTAGTTCAGTCTCTGGCATAATCATTCAATTCTTAGAACGCTAACAAAGCGAACGGACCAGGTGGCTCATTATTAATACGATGTTTTTGGGTTCAATTCTCAAAAGCACAAATCAAGTTTCCCCCGATGGGGAATCAGGATCGAGGAATGTTTTTAACGTTTTGCAAAATCACAGAACCCACAAATGTTATCCAAACCAGCCCCTTACGCTTACAAACCAATGCACACCAGCGGGGCAAGCGATAATTAATATAAACACGCGCAAATGAATGCCTCCCAGGCCCCAAACTCAGCGTCGGCCACGGGCGAATCTACAACAACATTGACCGTGGGGTGTTATTATTGTTATCAGAAATAAGCTGTACACAGCTAAATTAAATTACGTTGTATAAATATACTTAAAATAAAAATTCAATTAATCATCGTTTTGGCACACGCGTGTGCGCTGTAAATAAATACGCGACGCGTACACACACGCAGACACACACGCACAGATTCCCCGTATAGCCTTAGCAGACTGTAGGGCCAAGTGCTGTTAGCGAGCACCTATGAAGGCCGGAACGGTGCACGAGTGGGTGGGTGGCCAGCACCACGACCGACCGCCTTTGTCTCCCTAGTGGCGATGTTTACACACCGCACTAGGTGCTCATTTGAGGCTGACTCGACGTAGGGGAGGCCCAGGACCGGTTCAGATAATTGTCACTGGTGTTGGCCGTGAGCGGGAATCGAACCCGGGTAGCCAGGTTCATAGCGCAGCGCGCTAACCGCTACACTACCGCTACCCACACACACACACGTACACACACGCACACACACACACGTACACGAGCGCGTCTAAATGCGCGCTATAGTTGGGGAGGGGTAAATGAGCCAATAAAAGTTAGGCTATATATTCACGCTATCTTAAAAAACATAAATATATACGCAAACGCCGAGTAAACAAATTATTTTCTAATGAAAAAAAACGCCGCTGTAATAAGACACACCTGTCCCAAGCATGGAAACTGTCCATGGGCAGTAGGCACGTGTGTTGAACTTCTTTCGCACCGTACATAGCTAACCGTGCTAATCGGCAAGCAGGCAGGCTAGCCGACATGCAAAACACGTCTATTAATAGCCAAGCAACTAAGCACACACTCGGGCTGGCACGAGACGGCGTCGCCACACGTGAGCAGTGGTAGTTCTCGTCACAACCAGAACGACAATCACTGCGGGGTCGGAGCCTGACCACAAATACGAAAGAGACATCACACAGCGACGATGCACTACAACTCGGCTACTCCTGGCGCGGTTATCTGCTGGGTCGACCACCTGAACGTGAAATTGTGGCTGTTGCTCTGCATCCACATCAGCCGTGCGAAAGACAAATAAGTGCCTATCTTGTGTCTCCCCAAGGTCGACCCAGCCTCAAATGTGTACCCGATGCAGTGTTGTGAATGTTGACCCTGGGGAGACCGAGGTTGCTGGGTGTGGTGCCGGCCACACCACCCCCGAATGCCGCGCCCATGTAAGCTCACTTTACCCGTGGCCCCGCGCCCATCTAAGCTCACTTTACCCGGTGGCCCCGACAGTCGATTAACGACACAGACGCTCTCTTTGTATTGGCGTGCGAAGAGCGTGGTTCTGATCACACTGCACCTCGTGTGTTGTCTTGTAAAACAGGTGCTCAACACAGCACTTGCCCCATCAATCTGTATGACTATGTAGGGGATCGTTGTATGTATGTGACTGTGCTGGTCTGACTGGAGTTGGCCAAACATCCCAATGTAGGACAACAGAGCTTGGGCAATTATTGGCGCCAGTTATGGCTGTCTCCCCACTTCCCCGTGGTTTCCCACGCATCTGAAAACATCTCTCTCTCTCTCCCTCCCTACCAGCGAACGAGAACACTGTGCGCGCAACGAATTCTCAGCTGCGTAAATTGTAAATTGGTTGCATCCGTTTCTCAGGTGTGGTGCGACATGGAGACGAACGGGGGCGGCTGGACCGTGATCCAGCGGCGGGACGACGGCGGCCTGGATTTCCACCGCACCTGGGCGGAGTACAAGCTGGTGAGAGCGCGCCGGCCGCCAGGGAGATGAACGCAACGAGCGCGCACGCACCACACGCACCACACGCACGCACCACACGCACCACACGCACGCACCACACGCACCACACGCACGCACCACACGCACCACACGCACCGCACGGACGCACCACACGCACGCACCACACGCACCACACGCACCACACGCACCACACGCACGCACCACACGCACCACTCGCACCACACGCACCACACGCACCACACGCACCACACGCACGCACCGCACGCACCGCACGCACCGCACGCACCACACGCACCACGTGCAAGCCGCAAGACAACGGCTCCGCGACGCGTTACGCTAACCGGACCGCGCGAGTCATTCGCCACGGTGTTCGCCGTTACGCTCCACTCCACTCGCACGCACGCACCGTGCGTTGAACTTCTCTCGCGCCGTACGTAGCCAGCCGTGGCAATCGGAGGTGCGGGGGCTTTTTTCTTTTCACAGAACGGAATTTCAATTTCAATTGTGATTCAGGAGGGTCCCTGCTACATTGGGTTTTGATTTTATGATGTTTTTAGCCGATGTATGGAGGATTCACACACGCGTCAGGAAACCGGAGCGACCAGGAGTAAACCCAAGCGCGTGATGGGGGGGGGGGGGGGGGGGGAACAACACTCTAACCCCATACAGATGCAAACAGATTGCGATTAGCCCACTTGCTGTACTGGCTTCTGGCGAGCCAGGGTTACTGCACCTCCTCGACGCCCACGGGAAGGGGAGTTTCACAACATTTGTGCGGCGATTCACCAACCTTCGCCGCTGCCTCGACGGCGCCGGATTACAGACAGCGGCCACGTGCAGCGTAACCACCAGCCCCCGATGCTAATTGTGGCCGTAGACTTGGCGTCATTCCCGACGAAGGTCCCACCACGTGTTTGCGCGACGTCAAGGCCGTCGGGCCGAGCAGCGCGCGGCGCAGGCCGAAAGGACCGTGCCAGCACAGATGGAGCACGGCCGCGCAAAAACCTGCGGAGCTTAATTTGTCACTTGACCATTTCTCGGGTGCCTGGAGGAGGTGGCTCCCGACTCGTTGCTACAGCCGTAAACGAAGAGGTATGATGGATGCGGCATGCCGGCTGTGCGAATATTTTCCAAGTCACCGATCCGGAAAGGCCTGGCTGAAATGAGTCGTGCGTATTGGAGAATATTGTACGCACGGACACCAAACTAAACTACTATAAACTAAAACTAAACCATTTTTATTTTACCAGGTAAAGCCCACTGAATTGTATAGCTCTTTTGCAGAAGCGAACTGGCCATAAATGATAGTTCAACAAAGTGACTTATCACGTGGAAATGTATAGCAGCCAAATACTCTAAACTCGCGTTTATAAATGTGGAAGGGAAAACCGGAGGACCCGGAGAAAAATCCACGCGACCACGGGGAGAGAGACGCGCAAACTTCAAATATACAGCAGCAGGCGTCAGGGTCGGGATCGAATCCACGACCTCCTTGCACACCAGGCGAGGTAGTTAACATCTTGCCATATTGACACAACTATATAGACGTGCGGCACTTGGGCTCTTACGAGCGTGGGCAATTAATGATGTGAGCACACGTGCCGTTCTCTCTTGAGCTTCCCCTTACTGGATTCTCGGTGTAACTTTCGTGCTGAGAGAGCGACTGGGCATGAATAAATTACCACTGGAAATGTACCCAGAATTTTCGTCATCAAATAATGTGTTGGCCGTCACTCCGCCATGATTCTTAAACCCACTCTGCCATCGTTGCGTTGAAGGGTTGGAAGAATGGCGAGAAGGGTTGATGGCCAAAGGGCGGAAATAACAATGGAGTGGCAGTCCAGGGATGGAACGCGTCGGAGAGTGTGTTCACCGGGGACTATGGAGCGATGAAATAAATTCGCATGATGTGAACGTGCTAGGTGGATTAATGCATTGGATTGTGAGAGACGGAGGCGGGTTGGGGAGGCTTCAATCTTGCAGTGGATTGATCATGGCTGTCGCTGATGATATCATGGAATGTTTTCATACATCTGACAAAATAATGATTAAACGCATCCGTAACAAAATAAAACGCCAGGGTAAAAAAAAAACACACCGCCACATTCACAACGCCCGAAATTGCAAAAAATAATGAAACTCCAGGGGGCGAGAGAATTTTTTTAAAAAATAGCGATGTATGAGCCAATACTCGTTTCCTTTTCGAGGACGCTTACAATCACTCAGCTCCAGGCCCTTGCAGCAACACCGTTCACCTGCGCACGCGCACTGACGCTCGCCGTTAAATTATCACGCGTACCTTGTACTTTGCCGAAATATAATTGACTACGTCACGCTCAATCCCCCGAGCTGTCGAAGCGCGAGTATTGAGGTTCCACGGACAGCCGAGCACGGAGAATTAAACGTAGAGTTCTCTCAATCGAGAAAACACATACCTTCCGCTGTGAGCTTCAAACGATAATAGGAGGTTTTTTGGCAAGGCTTTGTAATCGTCAATTCCCCCTGCGCTCTTAGAAGCGATGCCACGAGTCAGTCCGAATTAGTTAGACGCACGCGGCGCGGTATTGAACAATTCCTCTCGAACGCGTTGCATTCGCCACTGGCGCGGTGCTGCTCGAGTTGCCGTGCCTCGGTTGACGGCTTCGGTCCTCTTCACCCATTGCGCACTCCCCGCCTGTCACTCTCTCATCTCCGTCTTCTCTTCCCCTGTCATGCCTTAGGTCACAGCCTACACAACTGGAGTCTTTGTTTTTGTTTGTGTTGCCAATTATTGCTGCTGCAGCTGCTGCTGCTGCTGCGTTGGCAGTGGTGCACAAACAACAAACTCAACACGTTCGTCAACAACACAATCTATCATATATATGTTGTATACATATTTGTGTTTTCTTTTTCAGGCAGTGTTATTAACAAATGTGTTGAGTTAAAACAATAATTATATAGGTATACCACTCGTCTGTGGGCGGCTAGGTGGTGCAGTGGTAACGCTTGCGACCCCACAGAAAGAAGTGTCTGGGTTCGATTCCGAACTCGGGTGCATTTTTCCGTGCGGAGTTTGTATGTTGTGCCACTCTTCTGCCACACACCGTGTTATTGGTGAATTCGTGGAGTTTTTTCTTTGCCACGATTATTTAGTGTTACTCTGCTGTTGGCAGCATGGATCCGGTTATCGCATGCCCCGCATTGTCATCGTTTCCCGCCAGCTTCTGCCCGCACAAAAAAAATACCCCGTGTAGCCTCAACAGACTGTTGGGGCAAATGTTGTTAGCGAGCACCTATGAACGCCGGCATGGCACAACAGGGGGGTGGGTGGCCAGCACCACGCCCGGCTGCCTTTGTCTCCCACGTGGTGAAGTTTACACACCGCACCAGGTAAACATCTGAGGCTGAGTCCACCTAGGGGAGGCCCAGGACCGCTTCAGATAATATAATCGTCGCTGGTGTTGGCCATGAGTGGGGAAAATCGAACCCGGGTCGCCGGGTTCGTGGCTGTTGCACCACATGCCCTCTCACTCGACCTAACAGACGGTTATGCAGCCAAAGCTTGCATAATGTGTAGAAGAGGTTGGGGAGGAGGGTGGTTTGGGTTGAAGTTTTATTGAACAAAGCTGCCAAAACATTTTCACAACTGGATCTCTTTAGCATTTACACAAAAATCAAAGTTCCATCAAGTTGTTTAACGTGGCTGCGATGCAACAGGTGACACAAATTATTTCAACGGTAACGTAAACACGAGAGTGCGATTGACTGGCTAAGTGGGGAAGGCAACCAGGTACCCTTGGCTGAGAGCATTTGAAAAATGCCATCAAGATTTGTGGGCCGGTTATAATGTTTTATAAAAGCTCCTCAAAGCGCTCAGTTAAAATGTCTCCGGCATTGGTGACGTGGTGGTGTCCGATGGTCAGCGTGTGCGTGTACACGTGTGCACGTATGTGCACTCGTGCGCGCGAATGTGTTTTGTGGGGAGCGGTGACGCAGTGGTTAGCGCGCTGGCGATGAGAATCCGGCGACGTGAGTTTGTTTCTCCACCACGGCTAACATCAGTGGCAATTATCTGAACAGGTCCTGGGCCTCTCCCAGGTGGCCTGTGCATTAAATGAATACCTGGTGTGGTAATGTGCGCATCAGCACTGGAGAGACAAAGACTGCAGGGCAGTGGAGCTGGCAACACCACCCCTGCGAGTGTTGCTGTGCCGGCCGTCAATTCGGCGCTCGCTAACGGCACTCGCCCCGACAGCCTATTAAGAGTCTACACGAAGGGGGTGGACGACCTTCGCCCCTCTATCCGTGTGTGTTGCAACGTGCGCGTGCTGCAGGGTTTTGGGGAGCCGGCGGGAGAGCACTGGCTGGGGAACGAGCAGGTACACCAGCTGAGCAGCCAGCAGCCGCACGTGCTGCGCGTGGAGCTGGGCGACTGGGAGGGCCACCACGCCTTCTCCCTCTACGAGCGCTTCTCCGTCGCCTCCGAGAAGCAGCACTACCGGTGGGGAGCCAGCGTCGCCGCCAAAAAACGACGTCGTGGGCAGGGCTGGGGACTCGGCAGCTCGCGGGGTCAGAGGTGGCCCCAGGGACTCGTTGCATATACGGCTCATGGGATATTTGTATGAAGAGGTGTCTTGAGCTGGTCAAAGAAGGGTCTTGATTTTCGACGCCAACTCACACCACCCCTGCCATAGGCTTCGCATCACGGTAGTATAACGCTCTTCGACCTAAAACTCAGAGAATGTTAACTGAACATTCTCGCAAGTAATACATCAATCGCTATCGGCATGTAATTGCTACAGGTTGTTTGCATAGCAAGGAGATAGTAAAGCCCGCTGTGTTACGATATCGAAAAACAATATATGGATTAGTTTGTCATCAAATTCATTTCTGGTCGGTTGAAAATATATAATTGTCAACAGCAAAGGGAAAATAGGACTAGAGAAACAACCGCAAGCTGTTGGTATAGCGACCTGCGGTACTTCTCTTTGTGGCCGCTGCATCAATTCTCGTAATGATTGTTGTGCTGTTGCCTCTGACCAAATTACCCAGAAAGCTCCCGATCTCATCAGATCTCAGATGCTAAGCATGGCTGAGCTTGGTCTGTGCTTAGATGGGCAACCGTCGTGCATGAAACAGGTGATGGAGGCTGCGAGCTTCCGTCGTAGGCATCGCGGGAAAAATACATCCTTGGGTTGCACTTCTGTTCTCTCGTAACTACGCTCCACGCTTCCACCAACCCGCTAACAACCAGCGCGGTGAAGTACGGACAAATAATTACGGCACAATGGGCTGTAGGATGCTCCTCAAAGTCCATATACTCGATGCTCACCTTGATAAATTCAAGGAAAACATGGGAGCGTACTCGGAGGAGCAAGGCGAGCGCTTCCGCCAGGATATACTGGACTTTGAACGCCGCTACCAAGGACAATATAACGAGAACATGATGGGAGACTACATTTGGGGGCTGATTCGTGAAAGTGTTTTACAGTATAATCGTAAATCTCGAAAAACTACTCACTTCTAAATCTTTCGTAGTAATTTGTGTATTACTTTAGTATAAATACACGTTCATTTTGATTCATATGTTATTTTTTTCTGACTTTATGTGAAAGAAAAGACACAAATTCGGCCGTTTTCTCATTGAAAATACGTAAATTTCAAAATATCACTGTCCTGGTCACAAAGCAAAGTTTGTGGTGGATAATAGCCATTTTCTATACTTTTTAGGCATGAGCGATTACGAAATGACACTTACTACCTAGGAACAAGAACTGTGTTACACAATGTAATCCCCGCCACGACCCGGAAGAGAGCCTTCGTCTCGTGGTGGAGTGACAAATGGGACATGCAGAAAGCGGCAGCACAAGACCAGCATTTGTCTTAACACAGGGGGAGCTCAGCGCCAGTCGACTCCGATCAGCACAGTTGGCTGCGTACGGTGCGAAAGATGTTCAGCATAGTACTTAGAGTGTAACGAGTAGTCCAAGCTTGCTGTGAGTTTGCTAGATCGCAGACCCTTAATATTCGCGGGTGACTGCGTTCCTGGAGAACGTCGTGAACGTTAAATCCGCAAAGGGTTATGGGGGCATGAACATGTATTAGATTTAAATATAAACACATCATCTGTCCATATATGCTAATGCATACATATATATTCTATAGCATTGTTGTGTTATTTAAGTCACCTTTAACAATAACGAACAGAAACATGTAAATGAATATTATACGGTAACTAATTTCTAAATATTGTAAAGGTAAGAACTCGCGGTGCAAACGGTGCAGCAAACAAAGGCAAACTGAGCAGGAGAGCAACTTTTGCGGCTCTCTCCATCCGCACGTTCGTTGAACTTCTTTCGCACCGTACGTAGCCAGCCGTGCTCATCTGAGGCGCGGGGGAAGGACAACAAACTGACGCAAAAAAAGCATTTGTGAAGAAAATCTTCCATGCCTCGCGATTTCTTGTTGGGTAGTGGTACACTGTGGCCTTGCACTTTAAAAACACAACTCTACATTTGCCGCGAATAAGCAAAACCGCAATTGGAGAAGCCCCGCGAATATTAAGGGTTTGTCGCCCTGCAAGTTGGCTGTGCACGTTCGAGCTTTGTTCTGTCTAACTGGGCAGGAACTCATGGGACCAGAGCAGCCTCATTTGCAGAGAGTAACCGGGTCACTCAAAATGAACAAAAGCAAAACAAACAAAATAACACAAGTCCAGCGGTGAAGTAAGCAGTCATCGTACCAAAAAAAAAAACACAACCCCATTCACTTGAGGAATTCCAAATAGTTCACAAGCATAAATCAATGCAAAATCAAAGTAAAGTATTAAATTCCCCGCAGCGCAAATCGCCCCAGGCATATTACCTCCAGATTGTACGTGGCACGCATTACAAAACTAAGTCACAGACACGCGAACATTAAACAGATATAGGGTGACCACAGCACTGTACTAATTGTGAGCGAACAAGGATATATATCTCCTTAACAGTGCTGTCGGGACAAGTGCTGCTACCGAGTAGCACCTATGAAGGCCGGCATTGCACAAGAGGGGATGTGTGACAAGCACCATGCCCAGCTGCCTTTGTGGCGATGTTTACATACCGCACAAAGGAACTCATTTTAGGCTGCGTCGACCTCGTTCAGATAATTGTCACAGGTGTTGGTCGTGAGCGGGAATCCAACTCGGGTCGCCGGGTTCATAGCGCAGTGCGCTAACCGCTACCGCTCCCCACACTCACTCTCACACACGCACAATGTGCACACGCGCACACACTCAAACACTCACTCCCAACGCGAGACTGACTCATTACATCTCGCAGAGGATCACTTCGCTGGACAAAATATTTCCATGGTTCAATTTGCAACTGTGAGTTCGCGTTTTAAGTCAATACACAAAAATAATGGAAGCTGGTTCGTAAGTGCGGGTGTTCGTAAGTGCGGGTGTTCGTAAGTGGGTGTGTTCGTAAGTGCGGGTGTTCGTAAGTGCGGGTGTTCGTAAGTGCGGATGTTCGTAAGTGCGGGTGTTCGTAAGTGCGGGTGTTCGTAAGTGCGGGTGTTCGTAAGTGCGGGTGTTCGTAAGCGCGGATGTTCGTAAGCGCGGATGTTCGTAAGCGCGGGTGTTCGTAAGCGGCGGGCATTCTTAAGTGCGGGTGTTTCTAAGTCTAGAACCGCCTGTATAAATCTCACGTACACACACACGTGCACGCGTGCGCATCGTAGGCTGTTGCTGAAGGGCTTTGGCGGCACAGCCGGGCGCTTCAGCAGCCTGAGCCAGAGCGGCGTCAGCTTCAGCACCAAGGATGCCGACAACGACAACTGCGGCTGCCGCTGCTCACAGATGGCGACCGGAGGTGAGAGAGGAGCCACTCTCCCCCAGCAAACGTCGGCCCAACGTTGGCCCTTGACGCTCCACGGTTGTCATTCACGTGTAGGGCTGGGCTATCCGCATGTCAAAGTCATCGATTAACTCACTCAATTATCCGACGATAGTTGCTGCGCCGGTGTAACTGTTTCACGCGTGGCACTTGGAATCCAGAGGTTGCCGCTTTGCAGGGGTTCCTTAAGCCCTCCTCCCGCCTCTGTCGACCCAGCTGTGTATCAATGTGTGCACCAAGTTTGTCGACCGAAAGGCCGCGCGTGGTGGGGTAAAGTGTGGGTACTTCCACGTCTTCCATGATGTCTTACCGTCTGTAACGACATTGCCATCTAGAGGGGCTCTAGAGCTCCCTCTGGTGGAGTTACTTCCGCCGGAAGTCGGGCGTTAACAAGCAATTGCAGGGGCTGCTCCTTTACCTTTATCCATCGAATTGAAGTGAAAATAGTTTGGGGGGGGGGGGGGGGCGAGAGGTGGGGAGGAGGAGGAAAAAAAAACTCGTCTCTCCCGCTGTATTTACTCGACTACCCATCGCAGCTCTCCATTCACGCGCCGGCGAAACGCTGCGATTGGATTCGCGTGCTTCCGCTCGATTCCGGAGTGCAGGCACAGAGCCCCCCTTTGTCTTACGCCTGGCCAGGTCATTCACGCACTCCCGCAGCTGAGCACGACTAAGTCGACGTAACCCTCCATGGCTTTTATCCCCAGCATGCCTGCCACAACAACCCCCCCCCCCCCCCCCCCGAAGCACAACAAACCCGCACGCTGTGCTGGCACACAACGCAATGCCACGTGAGCTTAACACACACACACAGAGAGAGAGAGTTGTTTCTGCGTTCTGTTCCCACCCATTCCTTCGTTTTCTGTCCTGCCACACAATTGGCGAGCGGTCGCCCTCGGCCCGCCCTCGGCTGGGTTTTTAAGCCGTGGAAACCCGCACGCGTGAAACATTTAACAAAAATAATAATAATAAGACGAAGAAGAATAAGAAGAATAATAATCATCGTTCCGCCCGTAAACTTGCTTTCAGGCTGGTGGTTCGACGCGTGTGGAGCGTCCAATCTCAACGGGCGCCACTACTCGGGGGGCCAGCACACGGGCAAATTCAACGGCGTCAAGTGGCACTACTGGAAGGGCTCCAGCTACTCCCTGCGCACCACCACCATGAAGATCCGCCCCGCCGACTTCCACTCCTGACGCGACTAAACGTCGACTTGTCGCGCGACTCGCTACTCGCTACTCGCTGCTGCAGCTGCAGCTACCGCTGCTGCTGGTTAACGGTGGCGACGCTTGCTCTGGTGGTAGACGTATGGGTAGAGAAAGTAGGGTCAGATGATTTAAGTTATCTTCATGAGCGGAGCATCGGAGCAGAGATTTCACCGCTGCTCCTCAAACCCCCCCACCCCCCACATACCGTGCACCGCGCCCCCTCCCCCGCACTCGGAGGCTTAATTTGCCACCTGGCCTGGTCTTTATCCCAGGATCGTCCTCTGTTTGAGTGAGATAGCGGCCCTGGGACATCTGTAAGTAAGCTGCGCAACAATGCCCTACTCTCAACACGGTGCATTACAATGCAGTTTCGCCCCCTCCTCCAATGCTGTGAAAGACATTCTTCAGTCCATGACTTGTCCTCATTTTTTGTGGTTCAGAGGTGGCAACCCTGATAGAGACACACACACACACTGCCCAACCGTCACCGCACTCCAGTAAAAGTAGAACTGCATTGTTTATAGTGTTAATATTAAAGCTATGATATTAATATATTTTATCATGGATACCCCTGGAGTTTTGGAGCCCGAGACAAATATCCCCGTTTGTTACCTCCCCTCGAATCTGGCCCCGGTAAGTTGGCTTGAGCATCCAAATAACCGCTCAGTTATTGATGGCGTTCGGCCGTGGTGACTGATCACAACCAGCTCGTACGGGGTTGCCAGGGCGGGCGGTGGGGTGGGGGGGGTGAGGGTTTGGACGACTGCGACTTGTGGTGACGATCTCTGTTTTGTTTTTGCAACAATTATTTAGCTTATGACACCCCCCCCCCCCGCTCCTGTCCGTCTTTACATCCGCCACCGAGACTTCCTGCGTTTATTAAAAGCTGCAGATGTTCAGATGCTAGGTTTTTATTGCGCACACGAGCTTGGCAGTAAAAACCCGCTCTGGGGTTGTGTGTGTGTGGTTTCTTTTTTGTGTTTCCCCGCCGCGGTTACGTTCACGCGCTCGAGCGTGCCTTAAGCGCGTGCGCTTGGGCCACATGGCACGATATTCGATCCGGCGGTAGTTTTTAAAGTGGGCTCAAAGCAGTTGTACGGCCACTTCCATCCGATTTGTTTTCGCGTTATTTCATCGACTCATTTCTTTTTTTATGCTGACAATTTCACGTGCGTTTCCAAAGCTACGCAGCATCCAATTCGTTGTCATGAAAATACCAGGGCAATAATATTAACAATAATAATGCGAAGTTCAACGTGCAAGTTATTCATTAACACATATATACATACACGTTATTTGTTAACATTTATCAATGCAACTTTGTTTCAGTCAGGTGACATTCTTGACAGTTTTCTGAAAGGCAAACAGTTTTTAACTGACAGATAAATTATTTATTAGCGAGTTATTTGGTGATGCTGCTGCTGCATAGGCAGTTATACACAAGCACAAATAACAAAAAAATCACTCAACACATTCGTCAATAACACTGTGGCCTTAAAATAATTAAAATATATATAAGAGGCGACGTTTTGAGCAATGGCCCTTCTCTTAATAATAAATATTTGTTTTATTTTAAAGGCAGTGTTATATTGACAAATGTGTTGAGTTTTTTTATGAATGATTAAGGTTTGATTACAGATGTTAGGGGTGTAACAATGCATCCGTTTATCAATTGAATATTCCCACGATGCACCCATTGATGGTTTTAACGAATTAAAAGCGCATGTTGGTGGAATGCTAAAGGTGCCGATAGGGCTAATGGCACGGGCACAAATGTAAACATAAGGTGGAAAAAAAATAAAAGCACAGTAGAAATAAGATGTTGAAAATGGCGACACGGAAGAATTAATCCTTGAATGGGATCACAGCCCCGAATGTTGACAATTCATTATATTTGACAGGGGATGTGATTATTTTCTCCAAACAAATTTCAGCCCAGATGCTTCATCATGACAATGCCTGCTTTTATTGCTGGACGGCTGATTTTCTAAAGCCGCTCTCACCACAAGTGCAGAAGCACTTTGTTTTTTTTTAAGTCTCGGAAAGATTACAGACGTTATATATGTGCGTAATACCGGTATATTGGTATCATGAAAAAAACACTTCACAGCGTGTGGTAACTACATTTTAACATCATCTTGACATATATATGAGCCCTTTGTATATAATAGTTATATATTAACATTTTCTTTTATACCGTTTTATATTTTAAAGGACGAATGTGCGTATTCTGATACACAATAAATATGAACTGGAAAACACGTTGTGTTCTACAAAATGCCCAGTGACTGTTATACTTAAAAAAAACACACACACACAAACATTACCATTCACACGGTCGCCTTGCAGAAGGCACACATCGAGGATTTGTGTCAAGGAGCACAAATTACCACCATGCCAACGCCGGTCATCCTCGCAGCAGCAGCGGCTTGTGGCTGCTTGCCACCAAACAAAGATGGTCACTGCATCGCGCACTTTCAGATGCGCTTCTACTGCCACCTAGAACGCTCTTCCGTCCGATATTAGGAATCCACTGGAGCGACGCATTTTTAAATCTATATTTAAAACTAATTTCTTTAGAACTTATTTTTGTGTTTAGTTTGTTGTCCTTCCCCCCGCACCTCCGGTTAGCACGGTTGGCTACGTACGGTGCGAAAGAAGTTCAACATACATACGTACACCGTGCATACAATATACATACAGCATGCAGATGGCACCGTAGTTTGCGCTCTTTCAACGGAGGAGGAACAGAAAAACGACACGAAGTCTCTCTCCTGAAGCCCTCTCGTTGTGGCGAGCAGACCTCGATGGTGGCATTTCAGCTCCCAAACCAAACTGCTGCCATCGTCATGCGCAAAGAATGGAAAACAAACACATACGCGAAAACAAAGAAATATTAGACACATGCAAGACAAACGCCACGCGTCACATGTGTGGGATTATGTTTTGAGAACGTTTAAAAAGGGTAAACGTGTCCATCCTGCCTGTGATCTCGAGTTGAGCCGTCAATCAATTATCAGCCCTGATCGATCCACTGCTGGGTGAAGTCTTCCCCAAGCCGTCGCCGTCAATCGCGGTCCCGCAGTGTAACGATCCACGGAGCATCGCACACCAGCTGGTTTCACCGCTCCATTTCCACGGCGGACGTCCTGCTGGGCACGTTCACTGTCCTGGCTCGCACTCCATCCTTTTTTCCGACCACTCGCCATCATCTCTTCTCGTGACGCATGCAACCCGCACGCAAAACACAAGCGCTCTGATAATATCTGCATTGTCTTTGGAACTGATTGGCCTACAATAGAGACGGCCTTCTGTTCAAGGACTTGTCTCACCATTAGACCAGAGGACGCCAAAAGGCAAACAGTAAAAAGGCAAAGCAAGTATGACGGACGCATATATTATCAGAGCATGTTTGTTAGCATTTTTGTCCACAAGCATGTGCTGAATGTAGACTTGATGCATTTGGTGTTTGATCATCTCAAAACCTCCTGCTTTATTGCCAGAAAGAGTAAATCCTCTCCTCGTTTTGTTCATAATTTTGATACCGGCAAAAAAAATGTCCCATAGATATTGCGTGCAAATTACTCGGCCCGTATTTATATTGTCAGATGCATAACGGCATCGAGCACAGCCACTTACGGGGAACGGCCTCGCTAACGGTTGCTGTCAGAGTTGCGCTCTGCCTTATTTCAGCTTTAACAATTTAGAAAAACTAACGAAGCTCGCTCGCTTCCAAGCGAGACGGAAATGCCAATACGTCACCGTGTCCAATTAGAAGCGTGGCCTTGCTCTTTTCAAGAGAAACGTATTTTGACAATTTTTATAAAGCGGAGCCAAAACTTTTAAGTTCGGCGCTTTCTTATCAGATTTTCAAAAACAACAAAAAAAACTGAAGAAAAGTGGCTTCGTGTTATTGTAAAAGACTCTATGACCTTAATAAAAAAAATCACGATAATATCTGGCAAATGCTTCAGAAGCTCGACTTTCTGTTGGCCACGTGATCATTTTGAAATTGGGAATTTTGGGGGGTGGTTTTCTGCCATCTTTCAGGAAACAATTTTGAACGGCCCACTGGTCCCTGACTTTTCTGTAGCTGAAGTAATGCTTTAATTACGTTAATTGGAATAATAGGAGCCCTTTGCAAGCGCAATTTCTTTTTCACCTCGTCACTCCCATGCTTATTTTTTTAATCAACGTTTCACAGGAGTGGTCATCGGGCCGATGTTCGTCGGGGAAAGAAAACATTTCCGCCCGCCCCCAAAGCCTAAATGCACAACGGGAAGCGTCGTGACAACATTCAGGGATCGGATTCCCGTGGCCGATTGGGGTCCAACTAGTGTGACTTCACGCCACCTGTGTTTGCTTGGCTCTGGGTGGTAATGCCCTCCTGGTCTTGTCGTGAGGCCATTGCTTTCATCATCCCGAGGAACCCTGTTGTGGTAGCGGCGCAAAGTTACCGTGGGTGCCTCTGGGAGCCCTACCTCATAAAACGAGGAACACAAGCCTTAACGAACGTCCCTTCGGGATTAATTTACATCGCAACTCATATCGTGACCCCAAAAGCCAAACATTACGGCATGTTACGGCAGCGACAGAGAATAAATATTGCGCTCCAAGTCCGAAATCGTGCTGGTGCAAAAATATATTTACGTGTTAATAACAATGAACATATTCCTGGTTCTTTCGGTAAAGTCACGTAGAAGGAAAACAATAAAATAATAAAAATATAAAACAATAAAAATGAACAATGACACCTTTGTTGAGTCACACCTGGACGAAGGCTTCCTCAGGCTGCGTCAGTTATGGGGGTGCCTTGACTCTAGTTAACCACACTTGTCAGTGCGATTCAGTGAAGGAGGGATGCCCAGGATCGGTTCAGATATCACTCCCCACTGATGTCATCTGTGGCAGGGAATCAAGTTTAGTTCAGCGGTCGCAGAGTACATAAACGTTGCATCTCCGATTACGACAGTTGGATACGCACGGTGCGAAAGAAGTTCAAAATACATACATGTACATGCCCGTAAAGCAATTCAGGGATTGAACGGAATACCTCACGTCCTACCCAGAGTATACACCGTTGCCTGCTGCTGCTGGTGTTTAATGAAAGCCGGGCCATGTTTAACCTCAGTTCAATTCCCACCCATGTCTAATACTAGGGTTGGTGGGTCCCCGAAAATCCCAAACCCGCTGGGCTGCAAGTTGACGTGCTCGCAGGAAGGCACTCGAGAAAGAAATAAAAAAAACCCGGAGCACATTCACAACGGCCGTACGCATAACCTTGAACGTACACAAATGCCAGGACCTGTACGAAAGAAAGCAATACCGTACGTTGCAATGACCTGTTAGCCAGTACATTGCGCAGTTAGGGTGTTCTGTCACTCTTCATAACGCGACGAAGATGAGTGAGAAACGACGAGAGCAACGTGCGCGAAATCACCGCGCCGAATCGCGCGAGGAATGTGGCAGCCGGTAAGGACTTCGTAGAACTGAAGCAAAAAAGAAGAGAGCTGTCACTTCTTTTTTTGTGTTTGTTTGTTATCCTAACACCGCGGTGCTGCCGATATAAACTGTCTGTCGCAATGCCAATTGATTTCCGATTGATCGAACCACGCCAGCCCGGGTCGCACAAAGCGCGCAGGGAAGAGACAGAGAGAGAGAAGCCCCGCGCCTCGGCCATCTCCGCGTTTTTTTTTTAATTTAAAACCCGGCTACAAATACTAAAAAAACATCTTCGGAAATGTCTCGTCGACCGTGAAGTGACGATGAGCGGAGGGGGGGGGGGTGGGGCGGGGCTGGGGGGGCGGGGGGGGGATCCCTCGGCTCGTGACAGAATGCGGTGGCGGGGTCGTGATGGATCCCCTGTCCCCTGCTACCCCCGCCCCACCACATTCGATCGCTCTGTCGGCCTCACGCTTTCGTTGGGCCGACTGTTGACGACTGCTGTGGTTCCCTTGGGTCGCGCAGCTCTCACGCCCCGCCCATCGCAATACAGAAATACATGGTTTTTTTACTCATACATATTTTTAAAAATATATATAAATATTTTTACGTAAAACTTTCGTGACTTGCAGGAATTCATATTCTTGGTTCTTTCGGTAAAGTCACGTCGATAGAAAATAAGATTAAAATGAAAAAAATACAATAAAATTACAAATGCTCAACGGTGAATTTGCTTTCCACGCGGTCGAACGCTGCGGGATGCCGCCGTCGATTGCACTCGTCTAGCGCACCGGGCTTGCAAGTCCAGGACTCGCCGATTCGATCTCCTGGCGCGGCAGTTGCACGTCTTAAACCCCCCCCTCCCTCCCGCTGTGTATCCAGCGGCTTCAATGGGTACACTGCAGTCGGTCGATCGGCAGGTCACGTGTGCCGGGATTAACTAAACTACATTTAGTCACTAAACTACATTTAGTAACTAAACTACATTTTATTTTTCGATTTAAAGCTTTCGTGACTGCAGGGATTCATCTTCTGGGTTCTTTCGGTAAAGTCACGTGGAATGGAGATAAAATTTAAAAAAATAATAACAGAATACAATTCTCACGACGTTTCGGCCACTTGTGTTGTGGCCGAAACGTCGTGAGAATTTTATTCTGTTATTATTATTTTTTACATTTATTTTACCAGGTAAGGCCCCACTGAGCAATGCAGCTGTTTTTCAGAAGCGACCTGGTTACCACAAATTAATAGCTCAACGAAGTGGCTTATCGTGTGGACATTTATCGCAACTAAAACACTCGAAACCCATATTTATAAATGTGGAGGAGGGAACAAAGCAACTCTACGGTATGTTTCTAAAGTGTGGGTATTCCCACCTCTTCCAAGATGTCTGGCTTGCCCGTGGAAGAGTAGGCCAAAACACCCTCTCTCTCTCGAGGGGCTGTATGCCTCTCTTGAGACGCCCTTCCCTTGGCAGTGGCAATGAGCAAGCAATTGCAAGGGCTGCACCTTTTACCCGATTAAACATTTGAGCATCGCTTGAAACGATGCGAGACATGTGAGTGTTGCACGACAGATCGAGCGCTGGGGGTGAGTGAGAGAGGGGCACAACTCTGGCTGGTCGTGGCAGCTTCCTCTTCACCATGTATTTGTTTCGCCACGAAACAAATCAACTCGGGGGACAGGAATACCGCAATCAGATGTGGTATTTTTTTTGCGTGGCAAAATTGAAGCTGGATCTTTGCTGAAATATGAAAAAATAATGGACTAACCCCCAAATATTATTTTACATCAACCAGATGATAGAAAATGCACATCGCAACACCTGGCG